CTTACACTGTGGTTACATACTACGTACACATCTAGTTACTATGTAAGTACACAGGTATTAGGGCCACTTAATATAAAGTGGGAACAAATAAAATGATATGCAGCCTAATTAAGACACCCAGTGCTCTGATGTAATATTGTTGGTTTTACATAATCAAAATTGTGTAATTATTTTCTGATGAATGTGCTAACATAGACTCTCCATGGTTTAACCATGGTTTTATTGCTAAAAGTGTAGTAATGTAGATTACCATTTGTATAACCAACTTTATTTTACAACAAATATCATGGTTAAACTATGGTTGGTGCAGCAAAACCATGGTTAATTTGTGGTCATGGTTTTTTAGGATGAACAGAGCTTTGGATAGCTATTTTACTTATAGGTGCATCTCAATAAATTAGAATGTCGTGGAAAAGTTCATTTATTTCAGTAATTCAACTCAAATTGTGAAAACCTGTATACTTGTCTAGATCAGCTTTGAATAAAGAGAGGTTTAGAGCCAGATTTTTGTTTATGCATGCGAAATTTAGCTAGCAGGAAACACAAATCAATTAAGTTATATTTTGCTATATTCTCTTTTGAGTAGACAAACAATCCAAAGAAAACTGCTGCTGTAATGTTGTTGGTTTTACATAATCAAAATTGTGTAATTATTGTCTGATCAATATGCTAAGATAATTAATCTTTTTATGAATTATGAGTATGTTAGCTACCATAGCTATAAATAAAAACTTTAGATTACATTATACTGTGGCCAAAAGTCTATCATAAATGTGAAAATTTTGGGGTAGTTGGATGTGGGAGGGGGTGTCGTCTGCTGTTATATCCCCACCAATGTTAAAATCAAACCTACGCCTTAGCTATTAGCTAATATAGATTCAGCTTATAAAGTATAGATCCTTTAATTTTTTTTTTAAATCTCAATAAAGATTTAGATTTGATATCTTGATCATATCTCTTTCTGAACAGAATCCAGGCCAAAATGAGAAAATTATCCTTCAGCTTCAGGTGAAGCAGTTGCAGAGGGTTTTACAGGAACAAAACGCATTGCTCTCTCTTATCAGTCCAGGTACGTTTGGAGAAACTCTTACATAACAGGCTTAATTAAAGGTAAAGTTGTTTATGATGTTTATGTTATTGAGAAAATCATCATTCTTTAGGCTTTCAGTTCTGAATGCACCACTCTTTATCTTCATTACAGAACTTTACTTTTTCTTTCAGGACAGATTTTATCTCCCACATTCTTAGCGCACTGGCAAGTCCAGACACCTCCAAGCTTTTCAGATGCTATTCGCCCAAAACCTGCTGGGAGTTTAAATGCCTTTGAGGAAAGCTCAACCAAAGCCACATGTTCTGGTGAGGTTGAGAATGAGTCAGAGGCTCTGGCTACTAATAACACCAATGGTAGGAATCAAGAGGTCCTTTATCTTTATAGTCTTTAGAAAAAGTTATATTTACAATAGTATGGAAATAAAATTCAATTTGAGATACCATGTTCTCTACATATCAGTAATCAAATCATAATTACACATGCAACAAATTCTGAAATGCAATTAAAACAGGAAATCTTGCCCATTTCATCCTCTGTTCCTGACAGAGAAGTTTCTTAAATCATGCGCTTCTAGTTTCCAGACTACAAATCATTAGTCACATTTACAAATGTAAATCACTCACATCAGAAAGTCCAATATAAGCAAGACACATAAACAGGGGGTGAATTAAAAAATGAATTGACATGCTTCAGTGTGACATGCTGCTTCATCTAAAACTATTTTTAAAAGCATATGGCTAATTGTTTTGTCATTATTATGCATTCAGCGTTCATGACCTTATATCATTTTATTTATTGTTAAATAGTAAAATAATATGAGGTCATGCGCTGAATTCATAATGATTACATGGACTATCTGTACATCTGTCACACCACAGGGCCATTTAAAATGAACTAGAGAAGGCAGAAAACAAATGTGATTTAAAATGGTCACAGTGCCTAAAATATACATTTCTGTAATTTATACATTCCTATCAATTTTAACCTAAACTCCAGACTTTGATTTTAAAAAGAAAAAAAAAAAAACTTAAAAAAAAATAAATAAATCTTGGACATGATACTGTTTGTGTCAACTACACACATACTATTCGAAATGTATTAAAATGCAATTGCAAGCAACTAATTGAAATTCTCCCAACATCCTTTTCAAAGGATCTTCTTTTTTTTACTTAGTTCAGTCATCTGCAGTATCTTCTGAACTTTCCGGTTGTTCCTTCTCCAGTAGAAAGGGGAGATACATTGATATGTATAACTTCTTAAATTTACTGCTGCTCAGGCAGTACAGGATTGGATCCAGCAGACAGTTCAGATAAGACAGACAAACAAGCCCATCGTACAGTTTAACGACAGTAACTTTTTCCTCTTTCATCACGAGCCCATCGATATGTAGCTGCACCGCTCTTGTTAAGGCATACGGCAAGAAGCAGACAGCAAAGACGAAAACCACCGCAGTGACGAGGAACATCGCTCTCCGGAGCTTAGTCTTGTCGCCCACCGACTTCTGTTTAAGTCTTCTGATAATCCGTATTGAGCAATACACAAGAACAAAAAAGGGGATGAAAATCTGAGTAAAAAACACAATTTCCCTCAGTAGAACAATGGGACTGATTTTCTCATCTTTTTCACTGCTGTTGCATCTGATAAAACTTTGCAACATGGCTGGAATGGTCAAAATTCCCAGCAGCACCCAGATGAATACAGAAATCTGAGGCGACAGTCTCAAAATCCTCAGAACTTTCCTCTTCCCAGGATGGACCACGCTAAAATATCGATAAATGGAGATGACCGTCAGGAAGGCGATGCTGGCTCCTCGGTTGAGAAACTGCAGAAAGAGCTGTACTTTGCACACTACCTTCTGTTCACTGCATTGCTGAAAGTTATAAGCCTTTACGGGCAATCCAATCAGCAACAAAATATCAGCCAGGACCAGATTGAACAGGAAAATGTCAATGGTCTTAGATTTCCAGAACTTGAGCTTGAAGACGAAGAGATGGATAACTGTAATGTTCAGCAGGAGACCCAAGATAAACTCCAGCACTACCACAGAAGAATAGAAAATGTACAGCGCTCGGTTTTGGTCGATGTTGTCCTGACAGTTTTTGTCTGCGGTGTCCACGTTTGTGGAGTTGTCCATATTCTCCAATTTTTGATTCCGGGTCCAAAACGACTTCTAATGTAAGTAGACGACACAACTGTGAACGTCTGTTCTACCAAAGCAGAGCATTTTAAAGCTGCTCAGACTTGAAGGCAAAGCACCTCCTCTGCTGGAGCGTTCAAGTCTCTACTTGTTGAGAGGTTACAGTAAATGCCTGATGTCACGAACTGCCATGAAAAAGACAAAAAAAAGGGCCGTCATCAAAGACAACTAATGTTTAAATCTTTTATAGAGCACTCAGTGAGCGTCACTGATAAGATCAAGTGTCAGGAAGGCTGACACAATGGACAAAGTTAATGCACACTTTAAAAAAAGCAGCTAAAGACATAGTCTTATGTATTTGCAAAGATCGTATCTCATAAGAACAGAGCATATTATGGCAGTACAATAGTAGGGTGTGTTGACTTCACTGTGCAAGTTATAACAAATGTACATGAAAAAAATGTGATGGTTATTGATCTTCTGTCTGAAACACCTTAGTTTGTATACTAGGACTATTTAGTGGCTTGTCCAAACAGGCCTGAGAAGACTGAAGGGTTTTTGTGAAGAAAATTAGCTGAGGGGCAAGTATTGCCTTTTTAAGCAAAAGGACATGACCTGTTTAAAAGATTTGCCACGCCTCCCATTTGCATAGCAAGTCATTTTTTACAGAAGGTTAGTATTCTTAACAATAACATGACTATATCTTGCATAATGTTGGAAAAATAAATTGCATAACATTTGTAAGTTCGAGTTACCTCAAATATGTTAGGTAATAATATTAAATGATATTTCAATTTGCATTGCAGATGTTGCACCATCAGCAGAGCTCAGACACTTGTCTCCTATTAAAGAAGAGTCTTCAGAACCTGCACAAGAAGACTGTCCTCTTAGCCCTTTCGGATCGAGGCAAAGTCTCCCACCAAACCCAGAGGAAAGGTATTATATTATATATAATTTATATAACCGGCTATAGTATATATATAACATAGACTAATGAACTACTTGGTTTCAATTTTTTTATTTTTTTTTTATTAAAATGATGAATGTAACTGTTTATTGAAAAAAAAATTCTGCAGTAATGGCTGCTGAAAATTCTGCTTTGCAATCACAGGACTATTTTAAAAATTGCAATAATATTTCACAACATTAGGCTACTGTTTTCACTGCATTTTGATCAAATAAATGCAGCTTTCATGAGCATAAGAGACTTCTTTCAAAAAATATTCATATCTTACAGACCACAAACTTTTGAACAGTAGTGTAAATAAAATAAATTTGCAACATTTAAAAGCTTTACAGCTTAATAAAAATAATATATTTTAAACACAGGCCTATTAGACCAGGACTGAGAGAAGAGCAAAAAACATTTGAAGATTTTGTTGAAGAACATCTCAAAACAGACCAAACTATTCTCCAACATGAGCATCAGGTATGAGCAGCATTCAAAAAGTAACTCACACAGTTTAAGTCTGTTCTTAGCAATATCCTCTCTATTTTACAGACTAATACACAAATCAGGGGAGCAGAGAAGAAGAATTTCCTTCGTAAAGGAGAAGGAGCGTTTAGAATTTCGAAGGGTAAGGACTGCTCCCAAGGACTCCAGAGGAGATGCTCTGTTAGTCCACAAATGCTGAACATGAAGTTCAGTCAGCAGATGGTATGTCCCACTGAATTTCATCAGAAAGAGATGCCAAATATGAGCAGTCCTGGACTGAAGGGTGTAGGAAACCTCAGTGACCAAAGATCGGGCCTGGAAGACTATCTAAAGAAGCCCGTTTCTCTACAAGATGATGATTTATCATCAAACAACAAAGGGAAATTCAAAGCTTTGACTGCTAATAACAATGCAATCTCACTTAAAAGTAAGCACAGTGTAGGAGTCGTGAGGAATTATGGTAAAACCAATGGAAGCAAGTCAAGTGGATCTGCTCTGGCACAAAGTAGAAAAAGTGTTGGTTTTAAAAAAATGAATGACCACATTGTCAAAATCGCTGAGAAAAAGTGTCTAACTACAAACTACAGCCAGAGTGGATATACATCTAAAGAAGTCAGTCTAACTGACGAGGTGATGGAGTCACTGGCTCTTAGCGATTCTCGCGACAGCACTACCAGTGAGGACGGACCCAACTCTCAGTCTCAGCGGCCGTTACCTCTTTACCTCTCAAGGCACATAGATCACAAAGATCAGAGTTTGGATTTGTCAGACGGAGACTACGCTAGTGATGCCCCGAGTGAGACTCGATTCAGTGAAGAACATCGCACTTCTACTCCTACGTCCAGTTCCTCAAGCTTCAGCAGCAGTTCTGAACTCAAGAGCTTACAGGGGTCTATGGCTAACTGCTCCAAAAAAACAGAAGAAAGGGGGACCGACAGTGACTTTAGACAACCTTCTGCTCCTGAACCCCTCACAAAGATGCTCCCAAAAGTCAAAGTTACTCCAGAAGACACCACTCATGTCATGGGACTAGAGCAACCACATACTCCAATCAGGTTTTGTAGAAAGATTATAAATTTTCACTTTTTTTTTTTTTTTTTGGTATTTTGAAA